GCAGCCACGACAAGCCGGAACCCCCCCCCCCCCACCTTCCTCACCCTACTGCGGCGAGGAAGAGAACGCGAGCCGGATATTCCTCTTATCACCGTCACAACGCATGCAGCCGCCCAGGGCCTACGTTAATACTATTATCTTCCCTTATTTGCTGGGCTATATGGTAGTATTAATATTATTCCGTATCGTTACTGTCATTCCAGTATTATTTTATTAATATAAATTGTTATTATGGTTTGGCGTTGCTTTCTTAATTTCTTCCATTCTGCGGCACTTGCCGTCATCGGTTGTTTACGATATTACATTGTATTCTTACATTGTACGATTATTTACGACATTGTATTCTTAATATTATCCTTATTACAGTTACTGGATGCCAGTTCCCTGCCGTCGATTTCACTTTGCTCCTGTTCTAAAAGATGTAGCCGAAGTTCACGGCGTACTAGCTGCGGCTTGCAGACGCTCATTGACAACACAAGACTACACTCAGCGGCCACTTAAGGCAGACTCCTTGGCTTCTATTCAGCTCTATCACCCGTCTGGAGGCAGAGATGGGATGGAGACCAAGGGTAATGTTCCCCGCTCACATTCTTCATCCGCTTAGGACACAAGCATGTTACAGATTTGGCTTTAAGAATTGGTTCTTATTCCATTTTATTGTTTATGTATATATTGCTTTGTTGTATATACCCGTTCTTGGTATATGTATTGTTTATATTATCAAGATTTATAGTGTTTCGTATTATCCCTGTTTATAGTTGCTTTGTGCTTCCTTGCTGTTCTCCTACTGGCTTTCTCCCACCTTTGCTCCTAGCAAAGGTACTTCCCCCTTCCGTTTGCTGGAAGATTCTTAGAATTGTTAGCCCCCTTCATTGCTACAGTATAGTTATTCGGAAAACTCTTATTCTTCCAGGATTGTTAATTAAAGGAATCTCTTAATTCCTGCTGCTGGGCCCCCTTCCCCCGTTTTTTTCGTCTCCGTATTGATTCAGCTAGGGTTTACCTCTCGTCTGTGCTCTTGCCTGTCACGATAACACTGCATGCCGCTTCTGCCCACCCTTACTGCCTTATATCTTTCAGCCCGGGGGAGGTGCTCTACGCGACAAAAAATCGACGCACGCTCCGACTGGACCAGGTATCGTTTACATGGTCAGGAATCAACACTCTTCGGATCCTACAAGCACAGCGCAGGACGCACGCATACGCTAGCCCAGCGAGCGCCCCCCGACAAGTTCTACCCGGCCCGTGCCCCAGTGAACAGGCAACACTTCTCCAGGGCGATTAATTCGCGCCGCCCTCGCAGAGCTAGGCTCGCCTTCAGCCGACCACGCCCTCTTACCTTTAGAATTGGCAGGGCCACTCAGCTGTCTTGACGGGCTCGCCAACGGAGATAATGGCGGGTCCAGCAACCAGCTGGAACCCCCAGCTGACTACGTCCGGGACGTTGTTGCTCTGCCACTCTGAGGCCTCCTTGCGGCCAGCGGGCCTCGCCCTTCGGGGGGGGGGGGGGGGGTCCGGCCAGCTGGCCTGCGGTGGGGGTGCAGCGCCGGTCCCCAAGTGTCCCGCTGTCCGCAGCTAATCCTTTGCCCAGTCTAGGTGCTAGTAAGAGTCAGGAAACCCTTCTTATTCCTTGGCGGCCGGCCTCACGCCCTGGGAAAAACTTCTCCCATTTGTCATATCAGTTTTCCCCAGTCACTAGGTATTTTCTGCCCGCCTGTTAATTCTAGGATTTCCCATTATGTCTTGGTCGGGCTCCGTTAAGTGTTGTGTCTATACACTTTATTTCCCCTTTGTGTCCTGACTGTTATACCTAGTTCTAATTACATTTCATCTGCCATTAGGTTTCTGCAGAACGTGTTTGCCATGTCACTAGGCTATGCTTACTACTACGGGGGTACATTTTAAGTTAATTAGTCCTCAGACATGGACATGTTACATTTGTTAATTCCTACTTATATTATTTACATGTTCTGCAGAATTTAATTTACTAATAAAATTTAAGCCCCATTCGGCCTGTGTCTTTTTCCCCCTGGTCAGAAATGAAGGTTAGATCCAAAAATTTAGTTTTTAATACACTTACACATTTATTGAGTCTTTCCTTCACCTTCATTCAAGCACAAGGGTATTACAGTAAGTTTCTCCATTATTATTTCTATTAATATTATTAGTTTTTTATTTTTTATTATTATTAGTATTATTGTTAACAGGAGTGAAGGGGGGTGGGGGTTCACATGCCCACATCCCAATGCCCCTTCCCAGGGCTGGGGGTGCGGGGGTGTACAATAAACCAAGCACCTCCGGCGGCAGCTTAATTGTCGAAGGCGGAAGTGGAGCCTTGGCTGTTTGTCATGATAATTAGTGATGGCTCTTATTTTGATTATGGGTCCGTAATCCAGTTAAGCTTTTATTCTTAATTTATATTACAATGCTGGTAAAATACACTTCTTGATGATGAGTATGGAGTACAAATGAACTCATTGTGTACCCTATGCTCACAGGATGAGTATAGGGTACACAATGAACTACCACTCACATGATGGGTATGGGTTGCACAAGAAACTATCGCGCAGAGGATGAGTATGGAGAGCAAAGTAAACAAAGATTCACACGATGAGAAAGGGTTGCACAATGTCCTATATGACTCACAGGATGAGTATGAGGTGCACAATAAACTACAGGTCAAAGGATAAGTATGGGTTACACAATAAATTACAGGTCACAGGATGGGTATGGGTTGCACAATAAATTACTGCACAGAGGATGAGTATAGGGTGCACGTAAACAGGACTCACAGGATGAGTATGGGGTGCACAATAAACTACCATTCACAGGATGAGTCTATGATATTCGTGCTCTATATTAAGGTAACTAAAATACACCTCTGTTTCCAAAATACTTTAATGACAAATATTTGCAAATATATTTTATGTTTCCGATTTTCTGATGATATAAAACATATCATCATATATATAGGGGTCCCAGTAGTACAGTCGTGTTCGTTCTCGACGCACAATCGAGAATTCCGTGTTCGAATCCTGGGCGGGACAGAAATGGTTGGGTACATTTCCTTTCACGTAATGCGACTGTTCACCTAGCAGTAAGTAGGTACTCAGGAGTTAGTCAGCTTGTTGTGGGGTTGCATCCTGGGCGGGGTCAGTAATTCGACCTTAGGAATGACCTTGATAAAAGCCTATCGTGTATGAATATACTGTGGCTTCCTGTCCCCAACACAATGAATTATTATAATTATAATATAATGGTTTATAATTAAGTTCTTATAGAGCGATCCTGTGTCATAATTAACATACGTCTATCTTTACCTCAACATTTTATAAGTTAATTTCTGTCTGTATATGATGATGATCATATACAATTAAGGTAGCATTGCAACTTTATAGGAAATTGTTAAATCCAAAATATATCTTGGTTCTTATACTTGAGATATTGTTGCAATAAACGTTTGAAAACAAAGTTTATATCTGTATTTAAAATATAAAACATTTTGCGTTTATCAACGCATCTCTCTGAATTACAAATTTGTTCTGAATTGTGAAACCTGTATTGCCCGCCTGGCAGGACACTGATTGGAAGTTTTCATGTGTCCGGACACCGGCGATGGTATGGTATTAGCTATATATTTAACCATATCTTGGGTTTCATTTAAGATATATTTTCCTTGAAATGTAGTCACATTATCGTCTAGATCTGTGTTTATGCTGACACATAGACCTTTGATGTTACTTTGCATATATGCAAATGAATTATACAATTGATTCACTTGTTTGCAGGCCTTCACACTCCCTGAGATAGCCATCACGTGACTATGAAAAGGCATATATATCTTCACTTTCACTTCAGTTATATTTATGCTAAAGTATTAACATGCAGCTTATATTTCTATCTTTATTATGACATAGAAAACTTCGTTTATTACAATAACTAGATTAAACTAACATTGATCTTCGAAAGATCATAGTTCCCATCGATAGGGAGAGCATCGGCCAAGAAACCTTGTTTAAAATATGAATATCTTTCCTCTCTAATAAGATATAATCTCTGTGATGGATTCTTTTTTTTTTTTTTTTTTTTTTTTTTTTTTTACAAAAACTATTTTATCTCTGCCTTTTTTTCTGATAACATATACAAATATACGAACCCATGAGTTTTATTTGTGAATCTCTATTAATTAAGCAATATATCAGAGAGCGTGTAGGGGTCGGTGTTCTATGAACGAAAAGGACATGAGTAGTTTAAGTAGCGAACGCATACCAACAAATAACGTTAGTATCTATATAACAAAATTATTGTCCTGTGGAGTTGATTTAACTTCCAGACACATTTTTTAAATAAATATTAAATGTTTTGTGGCTATTTATGAAAGATATTATTACAAATACCCATTCTACTTGTTAATATCATTAATTAAATTTGCGACAATTTGAGCAAAGAAGTGCGACGACTGGATCACTGTGTACAGGAGGCTCATATGGCAGCAAACACTCTCCAGGCGACCATATACCTTGGATAAGTTGCTACACAATTTTGTCACATGGACCATCGAGTTCCTATGGCGTCACCTGCTACATATTTACTTCTAATTTCGATATGAAATTACATTATTTCAGAGTGAAAATAGGTTTGATCATGTTCTACGTGCAGCTCCAACATTATAGTAAGTAAATATACCATATTTCTTCATTACTTACGTAATGCAAGGCGGATTTGGGTAGATTTGGGTAATTCTACGGACCTTCTTGTATCCCTCAGGTAAACTCAGGTAGTGCATCCACCAGCGGAGAACTGATTCCTTTAAAAAGTACATAATCGTATGGTATTATGTATAAAGTAAGAATTCCAAGTACATACTTTATTTTGAAAAGATGAGAAAAAATATGGGTGATAAATGAAGCAAATCAGTTATAAGCCGATAATAAGAAGTAGGAAAATAAGCTATTAAACCAGAAAATCATTGGCACGCTTGCATGAGTATTGAACGCCATTTTGACAGGAACATTTGGTGAGTGTTCAGACACGAGCATAAAACCTTCCCCCAAACTGCACTTATCATAGAGAAAGAAATTGAAGACTCACTAGTATCCAGTGTGTGGGAAGGTATTCACTCGTCTTGGAAATATGAAGACTTGCATGTTTGTGCATTCAGGTGACAAACCTCATGAATGTCCAGAGTGTGGGAAGAGATTCAGTCGGCTTGACAAAATGAAGACTCACAGGATGGTGCATACAAATGAAAAACCTTTTGAATGTGCAGTGTGTGGCAAACAATTTAGACGCCGTGGCACTATAAAATATCACTTGTTAGTACATTCAGGTGACAAACCTCATGAATGTCCAGAGTGTGGGAAGAGATTCAGTCGGCTTGACAAAATGAAGACTCACAGGATGGTGCATACAAATGAAAAACCTTTTGAATGTGCAGTGTGTGGCAAACAATTTAGACGCCGTAAAACTATAATATATCACATGATAGTGCATTCAGGAGACAAACCTCATGAATGTCCGGAGTGTGGGAAGAGGTTCAGTTTTCTACAACATTTGAAGCATCATATGTCAGTGCATTCACATGATAAACCTCATGAATGTCCAGAGTGTGGGAAGAGATTCAGTCGGCTTGGATATATGAAGACTCACAGGATGGTGCATACAAATGAAAAACCTTTTGCATGTGCCGTGTGTGGGAAAAAATTTAGGCAAAAGAGCACTATAAAACATCACTTGTTAGTACATTCAGGTGACAAACCTCATGAATGTCCAGAGTGTGGGAAGAGATTCAGAGATCTTGGAGGTATGAAGTCTCATAGGATGATGCATACAAATGAAAAACCTTTTGAATGTGCAGAGTGTGGCAAACAATTTAGACGCCGTAAAACTATAATATATCACATGATAGTGCATTCAGGTGACAAACCTCATGAATGTCCTGAGTGTGGGAAGAGGTTCAGTTTTCTACAACATTTGAAGCGTCATATGTCAGTGCATTCACATGAAAAACCTCATGAATGTCCAGAGTGTGGGAAGAGATTCAGAGAGCTTGGAGGTATGAAGTCTCATAGGATCGTGCATACAAATGAAAAACCTTTTGAATGTGCAGAGTGTGGCAAACAATTTAGAAACCGAAAAAGTATAATAAATCACATAATAGTGCATTCAGGTGACAAACCTCATGAATGTCCTGAGTGTGGGAAGAGGTTCAGTTTTCTAGGACATGTGAAGCGTCATATGTCAGTGCATTCACATGACAAACCTCATAAATGTCCAGAGTGTGGGAAGAGATTCATTCGGCTTGGAAATATGAAGACTCACAGGATGGTGCATACAAATGAAAAACCTTTTGCATGTGCCGTGTGTGGCAAAAAATTTAGGCACCATGGCACTATAAAACATCACATGTTAGTACATTCAGGTGACAAACTTCATGAATATCCAGAGTGTGGAAGAGATTCACAGAGCTTGGAGGTATGAAGTCTCATAGAATGGTGCATACAAATGAAAAACCTTTTGAATGTGCAGTGTGTGGCAAACAATTTAGACACCGTGAAACGATAATAAATCACATGAGAGTGCATTCACATGACAAACCTTATGAATGTCCAGAGTGTGGGAAGAGATTCATTCGGCTTGGAAATATGAAAACTCACAGGATGGTGCATACAAATGAAAAACCTTTTGAATGTGCCGTGTGTGGCAAAAAATTTAGGCACCGTGGCACTATAAAATATCACTTGTTAGTACATTCAGGTGACAAACCTCATGAATGTCCAGAGTGTGGAAAGAGATTCAGAGATCTTGGAGGTATGAAGTCTCATAGGATGGTGCATACAAATGAAAAATCTTTTGAATGTGCCGAGTGTGACAATTTAGGCACCGTAAAACTATAAAACTTCACATGTTAATACATTTAGGCGAGAAACCTCGATCATGAATGTCCAGAGTGTGGGAAGAGATTCAGTCTGCTTGGAAGTATGAAGTCTCACAGGATGCTGCATAAAAATGAAAAACCTTTTGAATGTGTCAGGTGTGGCAAAAAATTTAGGCACCATAGCACTATAATACATCACATGTCAGTACATGCATGTGACAATCCTCATGAGTGTTCAGAGTGAGAAGAGATTCAGTCGGCGTGGACATATGAAGACTCACATGATGGTGTATACAGATTAAAAACCTTTTGAATGTGCCGAGTGTAGAATTTTTTTTAGAGAACGTGGAAAAATAGTATGTCACATGTCAGTGAATTCAGGTGACAAACCTTATGAGTGTTCAGAGTGTGGGAAGAGACTTAATCATCTTGGAATTATAAAGAGGGACAAGATGATACATTCAGCTGATAACCTAAGCACTTTGAGTCTGGGAGATAATTGAGAGAATGTTGAAGTAAAGTGAGATACATATTAATACATTGACTTACCTTTAATATAATACATAATTTGGGGTTTAGCTTCATCATGAACAAAAAATATTGTGCTATCACAATGTCGGATGTCCTTCAGAGGTAATTATGTACAGAGTATTTTGTTTCAGAAATACGCTTCATCATCACTGGTAAAGAACTAAAGGTATTTTATTATTTTGTTCTTTAGTGAAATTTAGATGTTCCTTATAGACCAAGCAAGACCAGGAGAAGCTGTCACTATAAAAACTCAATATTGCTCATAAGTAAAGAAATATTTATTTCTTCTAGTAAAGATAAAACAAAAGTTTTAAATACTTTTTTTCTTTGTGTGTATTTAAATATTAATGTAATTTTTGCTTTATTATGTTTAGAAATTCATTTAAATTTTAATATATATAATCTCTACTTATGTTATGAACATTTTTGTTGTGATATTATTTTGCATTGGAGCTGGTGAAAAACTAGTATTGCAGTAACTAGTATTGGTTTAAGGAAGTTTGAAAATTTTTGTAAATCATTAATGTATATAAGAGTGCCCTGTGGCACTCTTGTGGTTTATGGTTGATTAGGTGATGTTAAGTCATTGATATCTACATATTTGTGTCTGTCATTTAGATATGTTTTAATATACTTAAGAGCAAGGACTCAGATACTATAATGATGATGTTTAACCCTTAAACTGCACATGGCATATATATATATATATATATATACGGCTGCAGTAACATGTCCCATCTTGGGCATATCATAAATATACGACGTAGGGTGCTGGCCATGATTCAAATGTCCAGCGGCTACACTGAATTCACATCAGCTTCACGACTTTAGTCAACAGACGCCATGTTTAAAAAAAAAATTGTAGCCAATATTCTCGGGTGTTACAGCCACAGTACTGTGTGAGCAACCAAGGCTGGTGCATGCAGCATGAGCTGACAGCACTGCTGTTTAGCTTGTGACTACAGCATCGCCTAAAAATGTCAAAATAAATTTGTAAGTGCCATTATTTAGTGATGACAGTATTACAGAAAACCCTTGTGATTAAAATTACCAAGATTGTGATAATAGCCGAATTCTTTTTTTTTTTTTTTTTTTTTTTTTTGAGATATATACAAGAGTTGTTACATTCTTGTACAGCCACTAGTACGCATAGTGTTTCGGGCAAGTCCTTAATCCTATGGTCCCTGGAATACGATCCCCTGTCGCGAAGAATCGTTTAAATTCTTGTGATAACTAGCTCTGTGTGGGAGGAGTAATGCTGAATCTGTGTGGCCACCTGTTGTCTGCTCTCACCATAGCAGCTTAGTGGTTCGCTATGGTGAATGACTCTGTTTAGTGTTTCAGGTTACAGTTGTGTGTGTAAACTAAAGTCTTTGAAAATGTAATCAGTTATTATGAAACGCGTTCAAGCGTCGCTTCAGACTAGAAATAAAAGTGAGTTCTGGAGAATTAATTTTTCAATTACCATCGACAGTAAAAAGAAACATAAGAAATATTGAGAAAATTCGTGTTAGAATTATTAATCTTACTTTTTCGGTCATATTTAACAACATATGCTTACAAGAAAGATTCTTCGCGGTTTGGTGCCTTCTTTTGATAATTACCTTACCTTACAAGAAAGATTGCTACCAAAATATACTAATATATATATATATATATATATATATATATATATATATATATATATATATATATATATATATATGTCGTACCTAGTAGCCAGAACTCACTTCTCAGCCTACTATTCAAGGCCCGATTTGCCTAATAAGCCAAGTTTTCCTGAATTAATATATTTACTATAAGTTTTTTCTTATGAAATGATAAAGCAACCCTTTTCTCTATGTATGAGGTAAATTTTCTTTTATTGGAGTTAAAATTAACGTAGATATATGACCGAACCTAACCAACCCTACCTAACCTAACCTAACCTATATTTATAGGTAAGGTTAGGTTAGGTAGCCAAAAAAAGCTAGGTTAGGTTAGGTTAGGTAGGTTAGGTAGACGAAAAAACATTAATTCATGAAAACTTGGCTTATTAGGCAAATCGGGCCTTGAATAGTAGGCTGAGAAGTGCGTTCTGGCTATTAGGTACGACATATATATATATATATATATATATATATATATATATATATATATATATATATATATATATATATATATATATATATATATATATAATGTCGTACCTAGTAGCCAGAACGCACTTCTCGGCCTACTATGCAAGGCCCGATTTGTCTAATAAGCCAAGTTTTCCTAAATTAATATATTTTCTCTAATTTTTTTTTTATGAAATGATAAAGCTGCCCATTTCATTATGTATGAGGTCAATTTTTTTTTATTGGAGTTAAAATTAACGTAGATATATGACCGAACCTAACCAACCGTACCTAACCTAACCTAACCTATCTTTATAGGTTAGGTTAGGTTAGGTAGCCGAAAACGTTAGGTTAGGTTAGGTTAGGTAGGTTAGGTAGTTGAAAAACAATTAATTCATAAAAACTTGGCTTATTAGGCAAATTGGGCCTTGCATAGTAGAAGAAAGAAGTGCATTCTGGCTACTAGGTACGACATATATATATATATATATATATATATATATATGTCGTACCTAATAGCCAGAACGCACTTCTCAGCCTACTATTCAAGGCCCGATTTGCCTAATAAGCCAAGTTTTTATGAATTAATTGTTTTTCAACTACCTAACCTACCTAACCTAACCTAACCTAACGTTTTCGGCTACCTAACCTAACCTAACCTATAAAGATAGGTTAGGTTAGGTTAGGTACGGTTGGTTAGGTTCGGTCATATATCTACGTTAATTTTAACTCCAATAAAAAAAATTGACCTCATAGACAAATCGGGCCTTGCATAGTAGGCCGAGAAGTGCGTTCTGGCTACTAGGTACGACATTATATATATATATATATATATATATATATATATATATATATATATATATATATATATATATATATATATATATAATGTCGTACCTAGTAGCCAGAACGCCCTTCTTGGCCTACAATGCTAGGCCCGATTTGCCTAATAGGCCAAGTGATTTTCTTTATTTTCAAAAAATCATTTCCAGTTGGGTCATTTGAAATATTATTATTATATTATATTAGGAACATAAATTATTGACTTAGTAAAGTTAGTTTAGGTTAGATTAAGATTTAGGTTACATTAGGTTAGGTAGGGTTGGTTAGGTTCGGTCATATATCTGCGTTAGTTTTAACTCAAATTAAACAAACTTAACTCATACATAGTGAAATGGATAGCTTTATCATTTAATAAGAAAAAAATTAGAAAATTATATAAATTCAGGAAAACTTGGTTTATTAGGCAAATTGGGCCTTGCATAGTAGGCCTAATATTGCGTTCTGGCTACTAGGTACAACATATATATATATATATATATATATATATATATATATATATATATATATATATATATATATATATATATATATATATATACAATCTTTGGACAACACCCACCAGTGGGAGTCGAACCCAGAATTAAAGCACAACTACCTTCCAGTAGCTGGCATAACTAGTATGCTTTAACCCACTACGCCATCAGACCTTACAAAAGAAGTAGATAGTTCGAGATATATATATCTCAAACATCTCTACCTCCCGAAGGCACCAGATGAGTGAGGGGTCAGTCTGCATTTTTCGTCAAGCCACTGTCAATGTGAGAGAACTCGTGTCCAGCTTATAAGCCTATACTTGCATAAACCACAAGTGAAGATAAACAATCTTTGGACAACACCCACCAGTGGGACTCGAACCCAGAAAGCACAACTACCTTCCAGTAGCTGGCATAACTAGTATGCTTTAACCCACTACGCCATCAGACCTTACAAAAGAAGTAGATAGTTCGAGATATATATATCTCAAACATCTCTACCTCCCGAAGGCACCAGATGAGTGAGGGGTCAGTCTGCATTTTTCGTCAAGCCACTGTCAATGTGAGAGGACTCGTGTCCAGCTTATAAGCCTATACTTGCATAAACCACAAGTGAAGATAAACAATCTTTGGACAACACCCACCAGTGGGACTCGAACCCAGAAAGCACAACTACCTTCCAGTAGCTGGCATAACTAGTATGCTTTAACCCACTACGCCATCATGCTGGGTTAAAGCATACTAGTTATGCCAGCTACTGGAAGGTAGTTGTGCTTTCTGGGTTCGAGTCCCACTGGTGGGTGTTGTCCAAAGATTGTTTATCTTCACTTGTGGTTTATGCAAGTATAGGCTTATAAGCTGGACACGAGTTCTCTCACATTGACAGTGGCTTGACGAAAAATGCAGACTGACCCCTCACTCATCTGGTGCCTTCGGGAGGTAGAGATGTTTGAGATATATATATCTCGAACTATCTACTTCTTTTGTAAGGTCTGATGGCGTAGTGGGTTAAAGCATACTAGTTATGCCAGCTACTGGAAGGTAGTTGTGCTTTCTGGGTTCGAGTCCCACTGGTGGGTGTTGTCCAAAGATTGTTTATCTTCACTTGTGGTTTATGCAAGTATAGGCTTATAAGCTGGACACGAGTTCTCTCACATTGACAGTGGCTTGACGAAAAATGCAGACTGACCCCTCACTCATCTGGTGCCTTCGGGAGGTAGAGATGTTTGAGATATATATATCTCGAACTATCTACTTCTTTTGTAAGGTCTGATGGCGTAGTGGGTTAAAGCATACTAGTTATGCCAGCTACTGGAAGGTAGTTGTGCTTTCTGGGTTCGAGTCCCACTGGTGGGTGTTGTCCAAAGATTGTTTATCTTCACTTGTGGTTTATGCAAGTATAGGCTTATAAGCTGGACACGAGTTCTCTCACATTGACAGTGGCTTGACGAAAAATGCAGACTGACCCCTCACTCATCTGGTGCCTTCGGGAGGTAGAGATGTTTGAGATATATATATCTCGAACTATCTACTTCTTTTGTAAGGTCTGATGGCGTAGTGGGTTAAAGCATACTAGTTATGCCAGCTACTGGAAGGTAGTTGTGCTTTCTGGGTTCGAGTCCCACTGGTGGGTGTTGTCCAAAGATTGTTTATCTTCACTTGTGGTTTATGCAAGTATAGGCTTATATATATATATATATATATATATATATATATATATATATATATATATATATATATATATATATATATATATATATATGGTAATAACACCACAAACATTATTGTTAGGGGAGAATTGTTTGACTAATTGAACCACTAATGAACTCGATGGATCATTATGGTGAACAAAACATGCAGATACTTATATATAATCTTTGTATGTAGTTTATTAACAGTAAAACTATTTGTTTATTGTTTTATGACCATAATAATTGAATCACTGCTATGCACACCATAATTTTAATTATTGCGATGATTCACCCCTTTTATTATATAGATATATCACATTACACAATATTGAATAATATTACTGCAAAAAACTAAGAAAAAATCAGACATTGAAATAATTGGGTAATAATATCTTTGTAGCAACTCCCGCCTCACAGCTGTGGTGGAGCTGAGAGCTCCTGACACTTGCTCTGTCAACGCCTACATTTTGCCAGACTTCCTCGGCCTATTGCGGCCAAAATATATCGCCTACGATTTTTTTTTTTCCGTGCTCATGGAACTCGATAAACATATTTAGAAGACAAACAAATTTGTTAGATTTGTTTTCTTACGCACAAGGGTGTAAAATTCTTCAGGACCCCATAGCAGCTTAAGGGTTAAGTAAGAAGTAATTATGGTTTATAGCATCAAAGCCTGACTCATTTATATTAGTCTGAATCTGGCAATGATTTTATGCTGAGTCTGGCAATTATATAATTTAAATATCAGAAAATAGCATGCATATATATATATATATATATATATATATATATATATATATATATATATATATATATATATATATATATATATATATATATATGGTAATTACAGTACCTTGAACTCGGCATTTATATTAGCCTGATTCTGACAGCTGTGTTACCCTGAATCAGGCATTTTAATAACCAGAACTTTTCATGTAAATGAGTCTGACTCCAGAATTTATATTTTAATGTGGAGTATTTAATTCAAGGCCTAATTACTGTTAGTATTTATTTTATTTGATAACAAATGCCTGAATCTGACAATATATTAATATAAAATGTTGTCTTCTTTTAAATTCGCAATTTAAAATTATGTAAAGGCCTAAGTTTGAATACTGTATAGTTTAATTGGTAGTTATGATCATTATAAGCATATACTGTATTATCAGGCATAGGAGCAGCTTATATGATTTTGATTGGTTTAATTTCTTATTGTCATTATGTATATATGAACGCTGTGTAGTA